GATAGTATTGCCGGTAAGTCAGAAATACTTTTGTGGCAAAGCTTTGACTATCCAGCTGATACTTTGTTGCCAGAGATGAAACTTGGATGGGACTTAAGGACTGGTCTTAATCGACAAATATCGGCATGGAAGTCCCCAGATGATCCATGCCCAGGAGACTTAATTTTTGGGGTATTGCCATATAATAATCCTGAAACAGCTATTTGGAAAGGCTCACAAAAATACTATCGGTCAGGCCCCTGGAATGGCATCGGAATGAGTGGTGCACCCCAATTGAAGCCAAATCCGTGGTTTACGTTCAACTTAGTCTCAAATGAAGAGGAGGTTTACTACATTTTTTACCTCAAAAAAAAATCAGCAATCACAAGGCTTATTGTGAACCAAACTACCAGTAGGGGGGAACGCTATTTGTGGAAGGAAGACACTGGGACTTGGACAGAGTCCAACCATTTTCCATGGGATGACTGTGACACCTATGGGACTTGTGGGGCATATGGGACTTGTGTCAGTACAGCACTACCGCCTTGTCAATGTTTAAGAGGTTTCAAGCCGAAATCACAAGAAGAAAGCTCAGTGGACCAGCATCAGGGATGTGTGCGCAATAAACCTTTAGATTGCCATACAGGTGATGGATTTATCAAAGTTCGTGGGCTGAAACTGCCAGATACTTCACATTCTTGGGTGAATAAAAGTATAAGCCTCAACGAGTGCAGGGCTAAATGCTTAGAGAATTGTTCTTGTATGGCCTATACAACCTTGGATATTAAAGAGTCCAGCGGTTGTGCAATTTGGTTTGATGATCTAATTGATCTTAAACAGGTCCAATCAGCTGGACAGGATTTATATATTCGAATGGCTGCTTCTGATTCAGGTATTGGGTTAGACATTTCAGTATTTCCTGAAGTTTTGTTATGATTCCTATTTATGTCTGGTGTTTCCAGTTCTATTTTCAGTTAATTTGTGAGACTATTTCGTTTACAATACTAATTCACATATTTCTTCTTTGCTCTATTGAATTAGACCATGAAGAGACAAAAGGCAAGACTAAAATGATGGCAGGACTAATAATTGCAGCTGTCATTCTTGTAGTTACTGGTGTTCTTGTAATCACCTACTACATTCGAAGGAGCCATGGGAACATAGAAGGTTTGTTTCTCTGACTTAACAAATCATGTTGCCATTAAATATTGAAAGAAACTTCTATTGGCTCTTTCCTCACCATTTGATTTTGGTAAATTATTCACCCTTTCAGGAAGAGAAAATGGCTGCAGTGATGTAAGGCAAATTGAAGATATGGAACTCCCATTGTTTGAGGTAGCTTTAATATCAAACGCCACCAATAACTTCTCTTCAAACAATAAGCTTGGAGAAGGTGGCTTTGGGCCTGTATACAAGGTAAATTTAGGTGCTCTAAGAAAAATGATTACTAGGATAACTCATATAGTAATCAACTTTTCAAGTACACTTTTTCAGGGTACTCTACCAGATGGAAAAGAAATTGCTGTGAAGAGGCTCTCAAGAAGCTCTGGACAAGGATTAGTTGAGTTTAAGAATGAAGTAGCACTTATAGCCAAACTTCAACATCGAAATCTTGTAAAGCTTCTAGGATGCTGCATTCAAGGGGAGGAGAAAATGCTAATTTACGAATATATGCCCAATAAAAGTTTGGACTGCTTCATTTTTGGTTCGGATTTTTATTAAACTTGTTCAATTAACTTCGTAGAAGGATATAAATTCATCACAGATTTTTTCCTTATTTCAATGCAACTCTTTTTCAAAAGCTCTAGTTGAAACACTACATTAATATGATGAACATGTAATGTGACAGATCGTACAAGAAGGAATCTATTAGACTGGCCAAAGCGTTTTCACATTATTTGTGGAATTGCTAGAGGACTTGTCTATCTACACCAAGATTCTCGATTGCGGATCATCCATAGAGATCTCAAAGTAAGCAATGTTTTGCTTGATAGTGAAATGAACCCCAAAATTTCTGACTTTGGCATGGCTAGAACATTTGGAGGAGAACAATTTGAGGGGAACACAAAGAGAGTAGTTGGAACCTAGTAAGCCCTATCTCTATCTATCTAATTTAATTCAAAATGCATGGTGATATAATTTTCTTAATTGTTTTCTGCAGTGGTTATATGGCACCAGAATATGCCATTGATGGGAAATTCTCAGTAAAATCTGATGTTTTCAGCTTTGGTATATTGTTGTTGGAGATAATAAGTGGGAAGAAGAATAA